AAAAAAAAAAAAATATTGAATGAAAAGCGATGAACCGCGCGCGTTCACGACGATCGTGCACAAAACAATGCTCTTTAAATGGATTGAATAATCGATATGGTGGAAGAGAGGATATGTAGAAAATGCTTGATCGAAATGATATAACGTATCGATAGTGGAACGAAGAATGTTTATAAAGGAATGGGAAAGAAGATGATTGAATCTTGTTAATTAAAAAAAATAAAACAAGAGGAATCGAATATTGTAATAACAATTAGAGATGATAAAGCTTCGATGTGTTTGCAGATGCAAACAATTCTGAGATTCACGAGGATTGCAATTGTCACGTGAAAGAATGATTTCCCTATGCTTTTTTCTAGGCGTTTAATTTCTCTTGTCTCGCGTATCTCTTCGGAGTGATGATAAACGCGCTCGAAAATTAACGGTCAGTTAACCATTAATTTTAATCCCGGAGAAAATCGACTACGATTTCCGTACGATCTTCCTCATTCTCTTCCTCCTCCTTCTTCATTCTCTTTTTCTAGTTCAAAAGATTCGAAAAAGTCGATGGCTGTGAAAAGTTTTATACGACGTTCATCAGCGAGGAATTTAACAAAATCGGTGAAAAAACTCGCGATTCCGATCGTTGGCGAAACAAAATTATAGGAATCCATCAATGTCTGCCGGCCATGGCGGAACGTTAAGTACAAAGCGAAGATAGGGCACAGAAGAAACCTCGTGGTTAAATTATAGTCGTAAAAGATAGTTGAATAGTTGGCAGTTAACTCGATAAGATTCTATTTTTTGACTATAGTTGAAGGAAATAACCGTTTCGATACTTGGAAGTTCAATGGAAGGCGAAGGAAATAATAATAACAAAGAGATAAAACCATGGATATTACGCGTAAAGAACACAGTTACACCAATAATAGGTTAAAAATACATTTACGTGAATTTAATTGATTTGACGATGCATCGAGAAATATAAAAACGGACAATATTTGTATTTCGAGTTTAATTGGAAATCAAAAGCGTATATATGCTAAAGCTCTGTTAATTTGTATCCGAGTGATATTTTTGTATCTTTCGATAATTTTATTATTTAAGTTGTAATTAATAAAATGAGTGTTAAAAATGTTGTAAATATACATTTATTAAGGGATAAGTTAAATCACGAATTTAATTGAATCAAGCAGCATGTAAATGGTAGTTGAAATAACATCATGAAATTTGCAAACCCGTTTTGGAGTAAACAGGATTAGCTTGTAAATACGTGTATAAATACCATTTCCAGAGGTGTACCACATGAATTTCATGATTCAATTATAAAAGCACAAGGTATCCTGACTATGATGATTAATTTGACGTAACGCGGAGATTTTGCTAATAATGTTAAAAAAAAAAAAAAAAAATTGGAGCACTTTCGCTAACAATGTTTACTTTATCTTTGCTCTTTCTTATTGAAACCTTTTCACGATCACGTAGTTTCGCGATAAATCACGAGTCACGACAGAAACGTATTAGGGAAACGTCGCGTATCAGAAACAATATAAATGCATCCATCTTACGAATCCGTTTTCTGATAAATGAGTTCGGGGACAAAGAGAAGTCGTGCAGATTTTGATATGTTATCAAAAAGAAAAAAAAAAAAAAGAAAAAAGAAGAAAAGAGGAAAAAATATCGGACAAGACGAAAGAAAGGGTGAATGGGCAAGCATGTGGTCAATTCTTGGGTGTCGGGTAGTTGCGCAGAGGACAATTCTGATTG